AATGCTCAACTCTGTCAGGCTTAGTGCTGACTATTTTCCTGGGGAGCCTGTACCAGTGCCTAACCACCCTCTGGGTGAAGAACCTTTTTCTATATGCAATCTAAATCTCCCCAGACACAGCTTTGTGCCATTTCTTCACATCCTATCACAGGCCACCAGAGAGAAAGTATCAGTGCTTGCCCCTCCATCTTCCTTCATGAGACAGCTGTAAGAAGCTGCTATGAGGTTTTCCTTCAGCTGTGTCAGTTTTTCCTGTGATGACACTTTTTTTTTTTCCATCATACCTTATTCCTGGGTCTTGCTGAGGGAGCAGTGCAAGAGCACCTGGCTTGAGGTCAGCTACCCATAGTCAACCCACTACACCAAGCTAAACTGCCCAATAAAAAAGGCCAGAAAACTGTGTAGAAACCCCTGGTTGAATGATGCCAGCACAAAAAGCAGCAAAATGGCCATCAAGCTGCAGGCAACCTGTTTTAATTTCTGAGTACTTTAATATCTGACTTTACCTTTACTGAGTTATAGTAATTTTCAGTGCTTCAGTTTTCTAATAAAAAAAAAAATCCCGGGAATAAATCAAATCTCACAGTACTCAAAGACTCAGAATTGTCAGGGTTGGAAGGGATCTCTGGTCCAACCCTCCTGCCAAAGCAGTGTCACCTAGAGCAGGTGCCACAGAACTTGTCCAGGTGGGTTCTGAATGTGTCCAGCCAGAAAGACTCTGTGACATCCCTGGACAACCTGTTATATAGTCTGCAAGCATTATTTGAAAGGCGCTCGAATAAAGACTGAGAAGAGAGATGTGCTCCTGCCCTTGTGAGAAGCTGCTTTGCCATAGCAATAGCCAGCCTTAACTTCACAATTAAAGGTGAAATTATTTCCAGCGCTGACGCTGGGGGTCTCCCAATACTCCAGGGAACGAACACTCATTCTGCAGATGAAGACATTCCCGTTATAAGCACACGAACCTCCTGAGATCAGGCTCGATCTGCCTCCTCACTGCAGCCTCCCTCCCCCCTCTCCTGCCGGAGCCGCCCCCGCCCCGCTCCCGCGCCCGCGCCCCCTCACTTTGCTCAGCGCCGATCTCTTCTCCTCCCGCTGTTTCCCCGGCGCCGGGTGAAGCGGCGGCGGCAGCGGGGACGGCGGGGATGGGTTCGGCGGAGCGTCGGTGTCGCGGCGCGGCGCCTCCTGCTGCAGCGGGGCGTCCATGGGCCGCGAGTCGCGGCCGCAGCCCCGGCCCGGCTCCAGCCCCGGCCCGGCTCCGGCTCCGGCCCCCGCTCCGAGCGCACGGAGCCGCCGCGCCCGCAGCCCGGCGGAAACCTCGCGACAGCGGCCGCAGCCGGCGGGATCTCGCGAGGCTGCCCGCGGCGAGGAGCGGCGGCTCCGTGCCCGTGCTCGCCCCCGGAAAGCGGCGGGGCGCCCGCCGTGCCGCCGCGGGGGGACTCACACAGAAACGGCCCCTTCCCCCTCTCACGGCCGCCTTGTCACCTCGGCCTCAGCGGCTCGTAGGGCGGGAAGGGCACAGACACCGCGGGGCGCGTTACTCAGTCTTTGGATGCTAGGTCTAAGGGGTAGCCAAATCCTGGGGAGAAAGCAGTGGGAAAAAGGCAATAAAAGGCCATTTATCGTTATTTGTGTGAGGCCAGGAGTCTCATGCCTGCAGGGCGGTTCTGTGATAATTAAGAAGCAGTGCCCACCCTTCGGCAGAGCACGCCAGCCTCAGCCCCCACGGCGCAGCAGGCGAGACTTCCAAAGGTGCCCCGGGCCCTTCTGCCTGGCTTCCTCAGGAGCTGTGCCGATAGCAAAGGGAGAGCGGGTGCAAACTGAGACAGGGGACATTCAAGCTAGATGTTAGCAAGAAACTTACTGTCAGGATGGTGAGGCACTGGAAGAGGCTGCCCAGGGAGATTGTAGGTGCCCATCCCTGGCAGTGGTCAAAGCCAAGTTGGACAGGGCCTTCAGTAACCTGGCAGGGAGGTGTCCCTGCCTTAAAGGATCTTTAAGGTCCTTTCCAACCCACATCATTCTATGATTCCATGATTATTCTAAGTACTGACCCATCAATCAGAGCAAGGCTTTTTAGTCTGGATTGCAAGCAACAAATTCTGCAATATCTAGATCCAAAAAGTTTCTTGAAATTCCTTTGTGAGTTGGAACATCTTGGACTAAATCTCCCAGAATTGGTGGCAGAAGTACAGCAAGCTCCAAAGTAAGGACATGACACACATTTAAGGACAGGCTTGTCTGGAGCTATGGGAATTAGACCGAAGGAGCAAAAATGCCTGCAATTTAATCACAATACACAGGGTCATTGCAAATCTTCAGATTCTGCTGCATTGATAGTCCTCAAACAGCTGTCCACAGCATGAAGGAAATAGATGATCTGATGTAGAATAATGAAAGTAGATGGCATTGGCTGCAAAAACTGAAATCATAGAATATTCAGAGTTGGAAGGCACGCACAAGGAACATTGAGTCAACTCTTAAGTGAATGGCCCATATGGGGTTTAAGCTTGCAGCACTGGCATTATTAGCACCAGGCTCTGATCAATTGAACTAACACATTATCTGTTTTCAAATCTTTTAGGCAGAAGTATCTATGAAGAAACTTTTTGGAGCCATTTGCAGCACAATTATCTTGTGGGTTTTCGTATCTGTTCTGAAAACCTTTAAGGAAACATTCAGATCTCCCTCCTCTGGGACAAAACTAATCCTTGGAAGAGAAAGATGAAATTATGAGACAGAGTCAAAATGTCCCTTTTGGGGGTGTTTTTATCAGCCACTCAACCTGACAGTCCTGAACCCTTGTACTCAGCAGCCAAAGCTAAGTGAGGCAATGGCAATGGCTTGCAGCATGAACCAAGAATCTGAGCTCAAGTCAGGCCGAAACCAATAACCAAAGTCCTCATGAGAACAAGGACAATACTCAATTTAACTAGAGCCAGGGTGAATGTCATAATAACCCAGAAAAGCACAAAGCATTCTCTAGTAAGAGCAGGATAGGTGATGGGAAGTGCAGAAGACCAGGACAAGCAGGTGCTCCCAGTACAAAGGCAGGGATTTAGACAGAACAAGAGCAGGTCAAAACATTGAACAGAAGATAAATGAGGAAAGAAAAACTTCCCCTAAAGTCCTGTCTGAGACATACATCATGAACCAGCTTACAAGCTCTAACCCAGCTGTAGCTGCCTAACAGGCTTGGAGCCAAGCCGTCTCAAGAATTCCTCTGACATGCAAGAGTCCTTCACAATCCAGGACACTTTGCATACATTTCTTCCTGGGCAATTTTTAATACCAATAAACGAAGGTTAGCAACTGCCAGCCAAAAAACCTCCAACATATACGTGCCAAGGCACAGTGTCATGACAGGCTGCTGTTATAGCAATGCCCATTCTCACTATTCCATCTGTTTCCTCCCACTCCAACCACTCTGCCCCACTGACAACAAGTAACACAGCAGGGACTTGCTCTCCTGGAACCTGAGAATTGATCAGATCTAGAAAATATTTTAAAATGCTGTTCCAGTTCCCTGATTTCATTCACAATGTAACCGCACAAGGATTTGTATTACCGCAGCTGAGGAAGTGGCACAGCAGATTCCTACAGACAGGAATAATGTAAACCAATGTTGCCATCACAGCTGACACAGTATCAGATCATAACTGAGGAATGCAGGAAGAAAGATGAATTTCTATCAATATTTAAAACCATTTTGCCAATGAAAAAGATTAGTAACAGCAAAACAATGCAAAATTTATATCCATTTCTGACAGTAATCAAAAGGCCTGATTTTCTAGAATACTATTTTGCCACCTTCTATTTAGAAGTTGTCATGATGTCTTACTTGAAAACTAGATTGACATATGCTGGATTAAAAATAATGATATAGAGAAAAAGGAGTTTGGGCCCTTGACAATCTTTGAGAATCTATTTGCAATATCCTTCTGTGTGCAGCAACAAGCCATTGCTGTCATAATATCCATGAGATAGTCTTGGTTACAATCATTCAGGATACATGAGCACAGATGTAAAAATAAATTTCAAAAGATTCTTTAAAGGAAGAGACCTGCTAATAGAGCAGCTGTTGAGACATACAATATAGATTCTTCCAGAATGGTCAGGAAAAATCCCCAGTTTATCTCAAAGAAGTCACCTGCACCAAACCGAAATCACCAGGTTCCAAATGAAAATAAAGCCCTTTGTATGAACTCCTTTGCCAGTCACACTGAAGAAGAGAGACCTGGCTCTGCCCAGGAGATGCATATGCCTCCTAAATTATTAATTTTTCCTACACTCTGCTTGGATACTTTTCCACTTAAGACTCATACTATGTTTTTCAGGAGAACGTGTAGCTTTTGGTGAATTGTTTTAGAACTAGGAAGTAAAATATTTTTGTTCACCTCATTTTCTCATGTTTAAGAATATACGGGATTGGTATTGAATTCTGCACTCAATGCAAAGTCCAATCTATATTTTCTAACATATGGAAGGGAAATTTGGGCATCTCCCGCTCCCTTTGTGGAGCCACAGCACAATTGTCACTGAGACAGAACCAGACTTCTCTACACTGCTGTGCTGGTCCTCGTAGGAAAGCAACGGGATCACCTGGACCCAACAGATTTCCACAGAGAGAGTGTGTGCAATTGCTGATAAAATACAGATTCCTCCCCAAGCTTTTCCTCCCTTGATACCCTTGAATTCCAAAGTGCAGTTGTGTCTAAAACTTGAATTCATCTTCAGTAATGCACAGGCATGTGCAAAATAGCCAATACTCTGGATTCAAACATACATGTATATGGCCTGCATCAATGCAATGAGGTCTTCTTGATTCAGATGGGGATTCATGAGAGTGCTATCAGGAAAGGAATATTTATAAAGTAGGAACTATAAAACTCCTGGTGTTAAGTACATAGTAGTTTGAATTCATATAAAAAATAGCAAATTCATGAAAGTACACCACCATAACAAAAATGCTAAAACAAACATACTACACTTAGACAAAATCAGCTCTCTACCAGTATTTATGGTCACGTACTATGGTCTGACATTGATGTTTCTAACATCATATCACTTTCATTCATTTCAATCTCAAATGTTTCTTCCAATGGGCGACTAGTATCTGTACTTTTCCTCTGATTTGATGTCTCTAATGTTACTATGCCACTTTCATCCAGAGTTTGTCTTTCTATGTCGAATTCTCTGAAATCCCAGGGAGGTGAAATGATGTTCTTTAGTGTCTTCACTGTGTGTACATCGAAGTCATAACATCTTAATTTGTCTTTGATCTCTGTTCCTAGGAAAACAGACAAATCAGTAGTTTATTTCAAATGAATACTCCCAAAAATGTAATCTCAAAGAAACTATCATTCAGAAACTACTATAATTCTCTGCTTTCAGACCATCAAGGAGCTGCTGCTGCTTAATGACTGAAGCTGAATGAGTTGTTCGGAAAACATCCAGCAGACTCCTTTCTCAAAAAAGCACAATACTAGAAGCACAACTCAGATTCAAAAGTGTGTTTTGAGAAGAAATTGCCAATTCCCTTCACAATTCTCCAAGCGGCTTTTCTTTGTTTAAGTTACACACAGCTTGGTTTGCATTAATGCATATCACGTGGCTTCATGGTTCTTCCAGATGTGTTAAGTGACTACATATGGAGCAAGACAATATTGAGAAGAAACATCTGTTTCAATTGTGTGAAAAATCTGTAGGAAAAGCACCAGAACACACAGATGGCTTTTACTTTTAAAGCTTCAGCCTTCTTAACATGCTTGACAAGACATCAACTGTGTTCACTACAGATAAATCACTAAGTTCAATGAAGCAAGAATCTATAAAAATTATAGAATTTTTTTGTGGGGAAAATCTTTCATAGAAAATTTAAACCTATGGCAATATAATGTATTACTGTTATGAAGAACTTTTTTTACCATATATAAAGCTGTATTTTTGGAGTCAGAAGAACCTACCCTGTCTCCACAAAGACAAGTTTTGACAAGGTGAAAACACCTTGCTGTACAACAACATTAGCATTAGTGCTCTGATTTCTTAACTCCATACCTCTGTTTAATTTTCCCCCATTTGCTTTGCAATCTAAGATGCCACAAATCAATATTTTACATAAAAGAAACTGTCAACACCTTTAATGACAAAGTGTTTCCTTTTTTTATCCTGATGAGAGTACTGTCATGATGCTTACAAAAACCAGTGGTCATCTGCAATTGCTACTACGTTTTGACTCACTTAGCCATTAAAAAAAAAAACCAAAAACCCAAACAAAAACATCCTCTACTTGGTTAGGTAATTAGGTAGTGGTAGGCAGTCTTTCTTGACATAACACTCCTCTCAAAGGACTCAATGACTTCAGGAGACACATAAGTTTGAGACTTACCAATATAAGCTTCAGAATCACCAATGTACATTTCTATGCAGTGTCCAAGCATTGTGACCGAAAATGTGTCGTCCCGCCTGAGACCAAGGGCCTATTGAAAAAAAACCAGTAAAAAGTATTTAGCATCAAATAAAAACATTTACATCGTAAGTCTGCAATGGTTCAGTTTGTTGGTTTGTTGTTTCACAGTGCTATCTGAGCATAGTCTTCACTATAAAAGCAAAACATTGCACAACAAAAATAACACCATCATATGAACTGGCTGAAGTAGTAACCAAGGAAAGCACAAAAATAAAAGCAGAAAAGAACATATATACAGACAGGAAGTCATTCACATATGAGCTACAACATATGCTGCTGTTTACTTACTGCAAAATTTCTAGGTTGGAAGTACTCAAAATTTTTTAAGGTGCATGAGAAGCTTACATACATAAAATGTAAATTGCAACTCAGTTTATCAGAGGCCATTTTTTACCTAACCAATAATATATAGAAGATTTAAGAAAAAACCAAATTAAGATTATAAAATTTGGAGGCTGGAAAAAAATGCTGGTTCTCTGCTTCAAACCCAAACCAGAGTGAAACAGTAAATAACAGAATCTGTGACCAGCCCTTCAGCTGAAGGCAGTTACGTACCGTGTGGAAATAGTCAATGGCGCTTTCAAAATTGCCCATGAGGCTGTGTATGTAGCCAATGGCAGAGTAGGTAGAAGCATTTTGAGGGATTAATACCAGAGCCTGGCGATGGTATTCCAGTGCTTCTTCATACTTCCTGTTAGGGTTAAGTACATGAGATCTATTAGTAAGCTTCATGGTGAAAGGTGCTTTTACAGGACCCTGTGGGTATTTTCCTTAGCAAAGTAGAACAGAGTTGTGCCAGAACTTAAAAATTATTGCTTCAAACTCTGAACATAATAATAGAATGAATGTTGACAATTTTCTTCCTCAGTGTACTTGTGAAATCATTGTTCTCTTTACATAGTAAAAGAGTTGCCTACAGCAAAGTCCCACTTGGAGATCTTAGATGTTTGATACGGTAAATTGCTTTAGATGTTTAATGTTGCTCATTGTAGCACTGGTTTTCTTTCTGTAACTTTCATTTGCCTTCCCGAGGGAGAGAAGGAGCAGTATGAGACTAAATCACACATGATTCAAATGGAGAAAAGCTCTCTGGGCAGAAATCTCACAACCCTTAAGTGCTGTATACACTGGTACCTTCATCATTTTGCGACATGCTCTATCAGAAAAGGCGGTTTACACATATCCATGATATCTATCTAATACCAACCTGTCTTTGAAAATTGTCTATTAATTACACTGATAATTGTATTTGTTATTTCATAAAACAAGGATTAAATGTACACTACGGCATTACTCTTGAGAAATTAAATTGTCATATTTGACATCCTAGTTCTACACTGTTAAAAATAAAGATAGATATCATCTGTTTACAAGAAATTTTAACATCTAAAGTGATAAAGAAATTATGCAATGAGCAACACACAAAGTTGTTAAAGGCCATCAAGTAACAATTGAGGCAGAAAAATTATGCAACTGTTGCTTGCTGCACAAACCTTTCACATGATTTCAATTTCATTTTCACTCATACTATTTATTCATCCAATTGACTACCACTGTTTTTTAATATGTTGCTTTCAAATTTCAACCACATACTAGTGAGTAATCATATATCCAATAAGTTTTTCATAATAGCCATATTATGTATTACAGACACTACTAAATTAGTTACTACAGAGTTTTTTAAGATGTCAAAGCATATGTACAGCTGCCTAAATTCTCAACTTGATTTTCTTGGAAGATGATTTACAAGGATGCAAAAATATTTTAGCTGTGATTTCTGAACCTGAGAAAACATTAGAAGTTGTACAAAGCATGATGTAAGCAGTTAGAAACTTACTATAGAATTTTTTTAAAGACAAAAGTAATTATAAACAAAACAACTATTTGAAAAACTCTGCAATTATACTCATGGACAGATTTCAGAAGCAGTGCCTTTTGTTTTATCTTGGCACAAGGAGTAACTGTTATATGTCCTTATTTCATAATGAAAATAAAGACTAATTGGCAATTAAAGCACAAAGCAATTACTGCCAAAGCAGAAGTACAGCTTTCATCTACCATAATCACATTCTCATTAGCAGCTTTGAAACAATAATAACAGTGTACACCAATTGAGCAATTAAAACCACTAAAAATATTTTTTTTTAATTGCATTGATTGAACAAAAGAAAGGACTGGGTAAAGTCAGATTAAGGTAATTAACAAGAAAATGTCTCTATGTTAAAAGTGTTAATGCTTGTATATGTATGCTTTGCACTTTTTCTAGTCATTGAATAGAAACATGAAATGAAATATTAAATAGTTTTGTTCTAAAACCCAAAGTAACACTCCCTTGCTGTGTTATGAAGCCGCTGAATATTTCACTTCAGTAAAAAAACAAAAAGTGCTAATCCAATTAATTGGCATAAACCCACCTTTATGTTAATTAAATCAGTGGACATATTTCAGTATGTGAGGACTGGGACAGTAGAGAGTTAAAATTCACAAACATACAAGCATCTAAAAGCCTACAACTAATTCCCCAATAAGAATCAATAGTTAAAGAAAGTCTTTTACATAATGTACTTTAACTTTTGTGTAATAGATGGGATATTAGGGGTGATTAATGTAGTTATGTTCACAAGCTGATTTAGAGAATCTTGTTCTTAAGAGAGAATACAGGAGAGAGAAAATACATATATGCAGCATTATAGAGAAATGGAGCTCCAGTACTCTCTGCTTACTTGAGTTTTCTGCAGACGTGTCCTAAGTTGTTCAATAAAGGCTCCCACTTATCAACTGTTACCTGCAAAATAATGCAAAAATTCAAATAACTGCAGCTTCTTAGACTGTAACTAAATTTTGCCTACTTAAAAAAACCCAAAACGTACAAATGAATAGGGAATTTTGTTTATTAACAAGAAAAATACCACAAGCATTTTAAACTGTTAAGAAAACACACAAGCTGAAAATATTTATTCAACAACTAATTTTTCTAATTTTTTTATATTCCCCAAAGCTAATAATATCTCTTTAAAGGGTCAGTGTTTTTAAAACTTGATGCAAGTCAAACAAAACTTGTTTTCTACTTAACCAAAAAAGTTAAGTCTCAGCCTAGGAGCACTGAAGGCACAGTTTTAAAATAAAATTTATACTATATGACCTTTATCTTAAAATAAGCACAACATGTTTTGTCACAAGCTGTTACAGAATTTGCTGGAGTTTTACAAATTTATGATCTTACATGTTATTAGAATAAATACCTCATTTCCAATAGCTTTGATTTTTTCCAGTGCATCAAGGAACCACTTTTCTGCAGTTTTCCAGCTAAGGATTGAAGGGGTGGGGGGGAAGAAAAGTAAATTAGTGAAGAGTTTTCATTAGCAGTATGAGAAAACTGTATTCAAGACAGATTTCTATACATTATTTCATCATACGAGTGAAATTAGATATAAAACCCAGTAATTTACATTTGGCTATATTTTGCATTGTGGTCCTAAGAGCTAACAAGACAAAACAAAACAAAAAAAAAATCAGAATCAAACGAAAAATATTGACAAAACACTTCTTAAATAGGCTAGGGTTTTTTTCCCCAGAATATATTTGGAATTCCCTGAGCTGAAAAAATGTTTTGCTGTACAAAATTTTATAGTATGTGTGCAGATAGATGCCTTTTCAGGCATTCAACTACACAATGACAGGCACATAGAAGATAGCATCAATCTCTGGATGTTCCTTGAGCATTAAATTCTTGTTCAATCTTACACAAGGAAGAACAATGTAGAAAGCAAGGGTTTAAGGTGAACACCATCTAAACTATGACCAAAAGACACTATAGTTCAATATAAATACTTTAGATACTTTATATATATATTGGCACATTACAATTCAGAATAATACATGTTTAAGATAGTATTTGATCATATTGTGCAAGCTTACTCTCCATTTTGAAATGCTACCACTCCAACTTCATGCATAACAAAAGGATCTTCAGGAGCAATGCTTAAAGCTTGGCTGAAAAACCGTTCAGCCAACTTGGAGTTGTTGGTCAAACCATATTCCAGTCCAATGTAGAGCATAGGCAAATGACACCTAAAAAACATAAAACAAAATGCATGCTTGTTTCTGTGTGGTTGTCAAGAATGGAGTCACAAACTATAAAGATGTGCCAACTGTTTGCATATGTTTATGCACATCCAAGTAAAAGCTGATTTAAATGGACTACTAACCTAATGGGAAGTTTAAAAGACTTTACATCTCAATTTAACAAGAGACTGAATTCCAATAGCTAATTGTAACCTGCTCTGCAATCACATGTATTTTCTCAGCACTTAAGTTTAGTTTTGATGGTTTTTTCTCCTAACTTCATTCATACATTTAATTTACAAATTTGGGGGAAGTAATGGATAAAAGAAACACATTTGCCAGTAACCACAATCAAATACAATAGTTTGTATGCTATATGACACAATTAGTTCATGGCTCATTTTACAACCCCCTTCCACACCATGGAAGAGCTGTTCAAGCTATTACTATACAGCAGTTGATGAGCTGGTATGACAATCATGATTCACAAGTTTCAGAAGATGTTCAGGTGGAACTTTGATTACCAATATATAAAACTTGACTTTAGAACTTATAAAGTCAGAACAATTGCAAATAATGCAGTTAAATGTAGACGGTTAAATTACTGGGGGTATTTTCCTCCCTTGTTCTCTAACAGATAATTGTTGCAAATGCATTGCTACTGTTTAAAGGCATTGAAGTAGCAAATGCATTGCTACTGTCAATATTCTACACTACTTATGGATTCATTTGAATCTTCCCAAATATGATGTTTATACAGACCCTTTCATGAGCTGTGCAGCTGTGAAGTACGCGGCCATTGCTTGGTCATGCTCACTCTCCACTGCGAATGAATGCCCATATGCTATCCACGCAGGGCCATAGGTTCGCTCCAGTGTGGTAGCTTTGCTAAAACAAGAGCAAACACATCTGAAATTAAATTTCATCTGCTTCAGATGACTACTCAGACAGCAATGCTATGCCATATGGTTAGGTATCTATTAAGATAATTGTAATGACCAGTGGTAAACAAAGTTAATTTTAAAAGTTCAAACTATTTCACACTTAGAAGCATCACACATTTTTGTGAACTGATTTTATGATTGATTTTATTATTGTTCACAGACAGGAGGAATTATTTGATATTACTGAACATAAACAATTATAAAGTAAGTGAATTGAATAAAATACAGGAAACATTAGTAGTGACTCAAAACTCACTGCAAAATCCTAGCTATACATTTTGAAATAAATACATTCTATCAAATCCAAGTTTAAGAAGCTGGATAAGAATATATAAAATGAACACCTAAGTTGAAATTTTGCCATCTAGTTGCACTGGCTTTGAAGAAGATGAGCATTTGTCACATCACAGAAGTATACAAAATGTCACTCAAGTCTTGAGCTGGAAACTGCAACCTGAGCATCAAGACATCAACCTAGAGACTTTACAGAAAGGTGGACTTGACAGGAACATTAGAAAGCTGTGTAGATTATTTTCTGAATTTGAAGGCAAGGACATTCATAACTAAACAGCTCATAACAAGTATGCCCAACCTTTTCTTAAAAGCTTCTGACATGGAGATAATACATGTTCCATAAGAATCCGATCATATTGCTTAACTATGCTTAAAGACTTATTTTTTTACAAACATGTAATCTAAATTTTGTCTGTCACAGTTAAACTCATTATTTCTCATCACAGATCCTAGAGAATGGCTTGTTCCGTGTCTTCTGAGACAAAACTTTACATATTCAAATATTTGTATCTTGCCGTCCCTGACAGCAATGAAAGATATGTGGATATTTGACTGTGTCTTCAAGTTTCTTTCCTGGAAACCGCTGTGTAGCTCACAGTTGTCCCTAGCCTTGTTAGCTTTACACTATCATTCTCCTCCAAGGTGTTTAAGCATCTTGTTACTATCTCACTTTTAGCAGGCCTCTCTTCCCTTTTGGCACAACTATTCTGAATCTTGATGTTGCGTTTTCTCGGTTTGTTTGTTTTTGTCTTCAACACATCTACAGATACTTTCCTGCTGTCTAGAGATGTTTGTACATTTAAAGATGTTTTTTATTTCAGCAACAAAATCAGCCAGGCATTTGAAAAGTCTAAATGACTAACCCATCTTTACATATATTGTCTGTAAAAGTCTAAGGAAAAATTAGTCTTACAGATTGATTTATGCCTTCTCAGTTTGAGCTTACAGCACCAGAACAAATGCCCTACTTCGCAGCAAGGTCCTGCTCCCCAGTGCTGATATTCACTACACATACAGAAGACCTACAGGAAATAGCACTGACCAAACCTAAAAAGTCCAGAAAGAACTGGACAGCCAAATGTCAGAATTTTCCATATAATTCTTCCCTTCCAGATATGAAACCTGAACCTGACAGAATGCCTGAGTGTCCCTCAATTGAGAACTGAGGCCTGATCACCTACAGCTGTAGTTAGCTCAGCAGCATGAGTGACTGCAGGGACTACACCTGTCCAGAACAGGAAGGTGACTGCCTAGAGAGACACCACATAAGTCTTCCTCATTTTTGAAGTATCTCTGTGGATGAGGTCTAAACTGCTATACCAAAAAAAGGGTGGCAATGAAAGTATTTAAATAGTAACCAGCTCTTTGAGGCTTCTCTTTATGAGTTTACAAACAATCATGAACAATTAAATGCTTACTTAGCAAGTGAACAACAGATACACTGAGCAAAACAGAAAAAAAAATTACCTGAGATATCTTCTAGCATGTTCATTTTTGTGGCCAACCATGAGATAATAGCATCCTACTGCAAACCATGACACCTACATATTAAAATCAAAATAGAATATTATTAGATACATCACACTCATTGTAGTGAAGCATCAAAAGAGAGGAAGACATAATAATTAGAGAAGCTAGGAACATTTTCACTGAAATGACAGTCAGCTCTTCAAATTATTTGGTATTACAGAAAAGCTGGAACTGCTGGCATGTACCTTTCTAACAGGGCTTACTCAGCCTCATGAAGAGAGCTAAGTAGAAAGCTTACTGCTGTGCTCAGTTATTTAATGGCAGGGAATACAAGACAGAGCCAGATTCTCTTCAGGGGTGCAGTGATAGAACGGGAAGCAATGGGTACAAGTTGTAACACAGGAATATAAGATCAAGTCAAAGAAAAACAATTTTTACTGTGAAGCTGGATCAAACACTGAAAAAGGTTGCTCAGAGACATGTAGACATTTATTAGTGTAGCACTTGTTTTAAATTATTAATCAAAGTAAATAACTTGTACTGAATACCTTTTACTTAATCTTATAAAAAGAACCTTGGCATAAGGAAATTACAATGCAGAGAAAATAAAAGGAGAGAACCATTTCTACAAGCTTCATCCAGAAACAGATTTTGAATTCTGTAGCTCAAACTAATACATTAAAACTTTAATGTGTTTTCACCTAAAAAAGAAACTACCTGACAACAAAAACTGAGAACAACTTACAGGATTATTTGGGTACAAGTCCACCAGTTTGTGAGAAAGATAGAAAAGTTCTACATAGTGGGAAAAAACAAGAGAAGAAAATTAAAACATGCCAGAACATTTAGATGTTTCAAGTTTTTTAGTTTTCTATACAAAATATACAGAACATCTAACATTAATCCACAAGTGAACAACATGTTTTCTTTTAGAGGTAATGCTTCAAACTGCCTTAAAATAGATTCAATTCTGCAATTAGATAAAGAAAACCCAAATAAAATAACCTACAAGTCTTCATAAGACACAAATAAGCAGCTCTACTTCCCACCCTTTAAGAATTCTGCAACAACTTAGGTCATTACCATACATTAAAATAAATGCCAGTAGTATTACACTTGAATGTACCTTGTCAAGGTTAAACACTATTCAACTTCCTACATCTAAAAGGTATAACATACTGGCTAGATCCATTTCAAAGCAGAGTCCTGTGCATTAATATGCTGAAAATAGGACAAAAGCAAATAAATTATTATATTGTTTGAAATAATTTCAAGTGATTACTTTTTTACTAAACATAGTAATTCTAGTTACTGGAATAACTTACTACAGATTTTCTAATCATAGCAGCAGTAATCAGCTACCAGATAAAAATTCTATTGCCTATGCAATTTCAAAGAAAATAGCATTATGGCACGTAAAGTTTCTATATTTCCACAGCACAGTCCTCTTAAACTAATGAGATTGTCCTGGAGCACTTAGTATCTTAGATCAGAAAAAAACAAAAAATTACAACTGGCTTACAGAATATTAACTTCTGTACATAATGATTCTCAAGGTAGATTTAGAAGAAAAATTAGAGCACTGGCCCCATTTTCAGATGTACTTAACTGTAAAATAACTGCAAAACAACATTCACTAATCTTCAGGAAGTACCAGTACACCTAATGACCTATTTGTGTACGTATAATGCACCATCCCGAGAGACTGCACAGCATGCGAGCTCCTTATTCTATTTTCCAATTGATTTTAAAGATATTCAAACTACTCACTTGTTTTATATGCATTCTGGAATGAGAAAAAGCCACCCCAGATGCATGTAAGCTATTACTGTAATTCCAATCAAAGTTTTGCATGATTATTAATTTGTTTGAACTAAAGAGAGACCTTCACAACAGCAAAGTCAAGGAGAGTCTAGAACCTTTTCTATCACAGAATAATCATGTCCACCTAAGCATACACAATTGCTGAAGATTACTTTCTCGTTTAATTTATTTATTTTACTGTTGAGCAGAAGTCCAGCCAGATACTGTACAAATATCACCTGGAAACAGAAATCACAATGACAGAGATGAGGCAGTGTAGCTCACGGGCTTCCTGGCTACACAGCCCAGTGGTTAAAAGATAGCTACACTCATGACCATGAACTCTTTGCACATCTACTTCTCCCTAACTTGCAATCCTGCTGTCAGCTCTGATATTCCCTTCTTTACCAGTTACACTGTTTTCTTGAAATGGCAGGTTTCAAAAGGAGGAAAAATAGATGTAATTTTTCCTATGGTATATAAGGGGGTTTCTAGGGGTCTTTAATTCTTTGTTAAAATTGGGGCTTTACAGACTTCTGTTGAGTTGTATTAGATGCTGTGTTCCTTACCATTTGCTTTGTTAAGCTCCACAAGTGTCCCTATATGTACAGGTAAACAATTTGCATGGAAGGGATCCTTTTCCATCACTCTAAAAAAAAATTAAAAAAAACATAATACACATTTCAAAGACTTTAATGTGTTAAAAGCAAACTGCTTGTACAGCATGAAATGTTCCAATTAGTTACTACTTTAGGCATTAGAAAACTATTTGTGATTAAAGGACAACTATTAACAGCATTATAAAGGCTTTCTTCAGACCAGAAATACAACAGTTTAGCTTAACAAAAGAGGGTAACAGAAAATTATTTTTGAAAATTTTATTCTGATTTTCTAATTGAAGCTGAATATTCAATTAGAAAATCAGAATAAAATGCTCTTTTGTTTTGCAGGTCACTTCAAATTTAACCAGCAGACAGCAAGCAACAACATTTCTGTTAAACTTTTCCATACATTCGACAGCAACTTTCAAGTAATAGTTCTCAACTTCCTGAGGTTAACACCAGGCAGTATGCCTGTCACATTTAGCTCAGTTGTAAAATTTTGTTTCCTGTGGCATTCAGAAACACATCCATGAGTGCAGACCTACCGCAGCTGAGAAGCAAACCATGGCAGCGTTCTGACTCCAGCAGCAGCACACACCCGTAACAACTGATACACACTACTCGGCCATCAAAATTAGAAATAAACTGCTGGCTTTTAAAGTAATATCTTTTGATCATTGTCAGTAACATTGTAACTGCTATTGGCCAGAGAAATCAAACTTCCTAACTAGCCAACTCATTCACACCAGTTCATTCTGAAGGCCAAACAAGAAGTAGGTAGAGAGCACACAAAATTGAAGGTACCAGAATAAGGAAGAGGATGGATGAGAAGTTCAGCACAGTGTTGATTAAGCAGATATTTACCTTGGATACTTCTGATATGTATTATAAAAATACTGTCTTGTCAGACACAAACTACACATTTTAAATACCTGAGACATAGATAACACATGACATGTATATTGCAATACATATCAAATTGTTATGTATATTTACCCACTGAGCAACAATATTTTTGTTAGTCCAGGCAAAATTATTACACTCCACCATATGAGAAAAAAGCCCGAAAGTTGCTTTGGACACTTACACTGAAGTAAGCTTGTAACACATTTTGAAGTCACAGTTGTAATAATGCCTTTCTGCTAAGGATACTACTACATCCAGGTTTTCCTGAAGACCATCTACTGATTCAGGAATCAGTGTTTCACTGGGTTTATTATACTGAAATATAAAAGAAACAACATTTGAAAGAAAAACTAAACTAAAATAATGGTATAAGATGGTATAAGTATTAGTATTTTTAGTCCTAAAGAATGTTTAAGAAGTCTTAAGTTCTTAAAATTTTTATTTTTAAACTGAAAGTCCATAAAACCTGTATTTGGTAAAATGTTTCTTTAAAATGTACTTAAAAGCTCATTTAGAACACAAAAGATGCTTGCCATAGTCAATATGTTTATTGTAGGCTGTAGAAATTAAAACTGAGCAATATATATTTTTGGTGCTCCTTATCACCTTATCTTTGGATAAGAATAGTCTGGAATGATGTTCTTATAGCCTAATATATTCAGGTAACGGATGTTTTGTCTATGTTATTAACATTCCTTTTCCCCATCTAGAAGTTTCTCAATAAATAAGTTTTCAAAAACATAAATCAGAATTTCAAGTTGTTACCACACCAGAAAACAATTCACAGAAAACTGCTACGCTATTGCATAAAGTGGGATGTACTGAATCAAAAATTTAAAAAATTAAAAAGTCTATATTTCCATGTTCAGAATAAATGGGACCCACGAAAATTTACACCCAAAGTCAATGAATTCTCCAGATTTTTGGGACTTACCTTTTTCAATTTATTCTCAAATAAAAAGTGAAGCAATTCCTGTTCTTCTTCCGTACATTGTCTATTAAGAGGTAGAGATTCAAGGAGTTCTTTTTCTATGTGAGTTTAAAAAACATTGAAATGGTCATATTACAGAAGAAACAGCATGATCCAACATTTCAAGAACTTAGAGATACAAAGGATTTTATGATAGTCATCCCAACTGCAAAGACTATAACAGCACAGATACACTGAAACTAATAATACTACTAATTTTGGAAATTAAGGATTGATTAGTCATTCCCTCTACACTTTCAAAATGTAATAAAGATGAAATAACACACTATTATTTTTATTTACTCCATATGTCAAATGTTATCACTTAAAATGCTTTATTAACTAATGCCTAAGCAAACCCCAGGAGGGTTTCATTGGTTCAAAGTCTGTAAAATTGAGAACACAGGACAAAACTTTGTTTGGGCTGGGCAGAACAGAACAGCTTCAGGAGCTAACAAGCAGGACAGCTGGGTTACTGTGTTTCTTTCACCTCTTAAAAGTTCAAGTGCAAATTTGCTCAAATCATAATTTTCATTCGCTTGATAGGTTTTCTATTCTTAACATTTTGGAATCTGTTACTTGTTGTATTGGCTTAATTTTTATCTAGGAAAACACATCTTTGAGAAAGCAGGTAAATTTTACATGTGTTTGAGAAATACTTCTCTCCAGACCTTCTTGTGCTGTCAGCATATGGTGTGACGTTAACAGATCAAATGCTTCAAAGCAGTAAACATCAAGCTTCAAGGCCTCTTTGTAGCTGTAAGTTGCCAGGGTTCTATTGTCCAAAGCATCATAGATCTTCCCTCGTAAAAGGCATATAGAGCTCTTGATCTGGTGAAAAAGCAGGACTGGAGGTCAAAGACTGAATTATTGTTTGCAATTTAGTTTTCAGCACAAATCAAATATGCTCCCTGGAAAGCAGAAAGTATTTCATGTATGATAGAACCTGGTTTTCTAGTGCTATCTTTAAATAAAGAATTGTTTTTACTATCTCAAAGAAAAATCCAAAGAATTCTCTGTCAGGTTACCTACTGCCAAACAAATACCTGCTCAGAATAAAGGAGGACAGAGTTTATCTCTGTCATCCAGCTCTCTGATACTGAGTTGTAACCTAATCATACTAAATTCCCTTCATATCCAACATACAGAAATTGTCCCTTCCAAAGGCAATACACTCCTTTGCTGACCATTTAACCCCATATTTCACGCAAGACAAGAATGACCACAGTAGAGATGAAAAAGGCCAAATAAGTGGACTCAATTGTTCTGAACAGAAAAATATATCCTTGTTTTCAATCGAAAATATAGATATTCCACAAAAGAAAACAGTGAAAACCCAAAATTACCGGTTGTGCTGCAATGTTTATTAATTAACATGTTCTTTCCAAATTCCCTTGACCGGTATTCAGTTCAATTGGAAAGCCACAAAAGTGTCAGCAAAAGAGAAAGTGAACACATCATCCAACTCTATCATCAGACTAAACAGTCCTTTAATCCCATTATACCAGCATTCAAAATCAGTTCACATCAGCAATGTAACCCACTTTGCTACTTCAGTCTTACAGGGAAAATGCTGTCTGTCAATCACCTACACTGTAATTTCAGCAAATAAATTTTAATTTGTACCTCTGAAATGAACGATTCTTCACAGACTCTTCAGCCTACACATCATACCAATCTCTTTAAACTGTATGTCTACACAGAATTTTTTCACTAAGCTTCAAAAATTTCACATTGACCTCACATAATTTTCACAAATGTGATCAAAGAATATACCACTGAGAACAACACTTGAGTGATTATGAAGTATTTAATTAAAAATAACTGGAGGAGAAACAAAAAAACCTGCAACCCAACTGAAAGCAATGTTAGGATACATTACCAAGAAAGAGCTAAAAGACTGTAAAAACCAATACTAGATCATGAAGTTCCTGCAAAGCATCTGCAAATAATTTACAACAAGTTGTTGAAAAGCACTGGTTATTTTTGCATACTAAGTTATTTTCATACAGGCAAGCTAACACACAATGTGTGACTGAAAGAAGAACGATTCAGCATTTCTGAAAATTACATTATCTGAAAAAGAAAGTTTTAATGCACTTTCAGATTCACAGAGCTGTGAAATCACTTTCTGACTTCACAGGTTTTTCTACAAAAATATTTTTTTAAATAATGCCACTTACTGAAGACTGTGACATCTCCCAGTCTGTAGTAGAATCTTTCAATCCACTTTCATCCTTCAAGTACTTTTCAAAAAGTCGTTTGTTGATTGGCTCCTCCATATCAAGAATATCCAAGGCCTGTTGATGCTCTTTTGCAGCATACTAACCAAACATGTGCATGCAAAAAACAAGGTTTTCAAAAATTTGTTCATAAAGCACCAATAAGCACAGCATCATGTTTCAAAGGCATAGATTATAAGAGGTTTTTCATGGATGCATTTTCTTATTTGGCCATTTGTTATTTTATAATTGCAGTTAGCTCTTTTACTGCTTATCTATAATATGCAAAAATGACAGAATTATAAAAATATGCAAAATATATAAAATAAAGCATGTACAGAAAAATGTATTATTCAGAATTATGCAATCAGAGAAACAGGTATAGCTCTAAAAATAGTTAACACAGGTTTTAATACCATAATCTTATTCTACAAGCAGCACATTATTCTATTTCAAATTTCTGTATTTAATCTACCAATTGATTCAGTTGTGTCTCTGAAAGCACTGTATTTTACCTTTTATGTATGAGATCTTATACAGAAGTACAAAACTGCTAACTATAGTTATGTCACCACAAATCACATCTCCTCTGGTCAGATTACAGCCAACCAAATAAAAGTGTAAACATGAAGACATGAGACAAAAATAGTTCACATTTTTTCCCCACAAAATATTAGAGGAGTATTTCCTGGGAAAAAAGGTCAGTTGCATTTCTTCCGATTAGTGCCACAATGGATACTCCAGTGACCCAACTGAAAATTAAAGAATGAAATTAGCTGTCAGAAAATTTAAACCTGTTGTTCCAATGAACATATATATCTACACTGCCTATCAAGTACCTAATCTTCCCAAGATGTGTCTTTTATTTAGCTTAGCTTGTTTCCAGTAAAGGATTAAAATGTGTACTCACATGACATCTAGCTGCAAGGTAGCGACATGCCTCATACAACTGAAAGAAAAGTTTCATATACATCAATTATAAAGAGAGAACATTTTTGCTTACTCTGCCTGAGTCCCTTTTGCTCTCTCCTTTTTCAGTACTTTGGCTTCTTCACCCCTTTCGCCACCAGAAGTCCTTCCTGACCAAGCCTGTAACACTTTCTCTACTACTAAATTCTCAAAGGACACTTACTTGACTCTTGTCTTTACCACTCATTATCAGAATGGAAGGAAAATTGAAACAACTACATCTGAAGTGACAATCCACCTTCCCATACCTGCTGCAGTTACATCCTCAGACCCCTTCTCTTTTCTGTGACCTGTCTGGGGACAATGCTTTAAACCTGACCAATTGAACATGGGGCCTTATAAACTAAATAATGCAGCTTTTTAAATTACTTTTCTTACTGTGATGGTGAAGAAATCACTGTGGCTAGCAGCAGAGCCTTAAAAGAGGGGTAGCAGTAGCCTGTCTTTGACTGAAATCACTTACCTTATCCAGTTTCCGTGATCGAAGGGCATGTGCTGCCCTGTGATACTGAGCTGTTAGGTAAAGACATTGAGCCAACCAGTAGATATCCTGTGGTTCCTCTAAAGTAAAAGAACAAATTGTAAACCATTGCTTTACAATATACCTTGAAACATTTTAATACAGAATGTTCACTTTTGCTTCACTGTAGAAGTATCTTCCCCCTACTCTAGCATCTGAGTTACAAAATTTTATTTATAAGTATGTATAAAGTACTTACACTATCTATCAGCGAGAGATTAAAATGAAAAGATAATCTGATTTTAACTTTAAAGACCTCACGGGACAGTGAATACAAAGAATGTTGTAATAGAGGCGTGTCATGAGAAGGAGATGATGATACACATTAAAAAAGCAGCAGTTGCAGGCTACCCTGCTCTTGGATATAGGGCAGAAAAAAACAAGACATAAATGTCTCTCTCAATAAAATGATCAGTGGGAACCTAACAACAGTAAAAGCACTAGACTTCCACAGCTTGGAGTTGCAATTTCAGAAGCACAGTTTAGTGCCCTCTACCTCACTGGCAACCACAGCCTTTGTGGGATCAAGTCCCTGGAATCACTTTAAGAAGTGTAAGTGCTGGTGGCTGTGGGCAGCATCAGCTCCCTCTCAGTGTAAGCACACTCTGTACTTGTCACCCAGGGCAACCCTGAGTCTGGTGGGAAACCACCATGGTCTCTTGCTAATAATGTTTTTTTCTGTTGTTTCTTAAGGAAGGCAAACCTCAAGGTTTGTTCAAACATGAATTTTAACACAAAGTTCAAAAGGCAAGGAAAATGAACTCTGCTCTATTTAGGAGAATGGCATTCCAAAGATCACAAAAATGCACTTAAACCAAACTCAAAACATTAGTATTTGGCCATACAGCACTAAAACCCCACCAAAACACAATACTATCAGAAAGAAGTTGATAAAATACAATGTAAAAAGCAACCACTTACCATGAGAGAGTGAAGCTACTTTGTCAGCCCAAAACAGGGCACTTTGATATTGCTGCTGTAAAAGCATGATAGAAATAATTAGTATTCCTTTGGGGTTGGCTTTTCTGAATAATTTTGAAATACACTGTACATCAGTCAGATCTAGTATCTTGTGCATGTAGTCTCTAATGAATGGTAATGTACATTTCAGATCTTTGTAACTTAAAAAAATAGTTCAAAATGGCCAAAACTGCAGGTATCTTTGACCAAAAGTTATGTGTTGTATCAGTATGGCAATAGGTCATTAGTTCAATTGCTATCACTGAAAAAGTAGCAAGTTTACCAGTTTAAAAAAAAATGCTACATTTTAGAAGAAAGATAATAAGATATATATAAGAAAGGACACCAAAATTATTTCAGGTAGCTTCAGCAGCACCATCTCTGGAGAAATGTTCATTCTCCAGTCATGATGCTTCAACTTCACATAAATTCATAGTGCCTGCATGCATTTCCCCTTATTCTTGGATACACATTTTCACTCTTGAGACTTCAGTTTGGCAAAAGTGAGTGAAATAGGTAAAAGTGGTGGCAACCAGAGATTAGACAGAAGCAGAATTTGCAGGTATATCCCACTAACCCAGATAAAGTTGCCACCAGATTTGGGTGCCAGGAAAAATCTCAGAGAACTGGCTGGGGTTATCTCCTGAGAAGATTACCAGGCATTCTTGCTACTCCTTTTTATCTCAGTCCATGCAATGAAGCCCAACATGATTCCCAGGATATGCTGGACACTTAACAAATACCCTGTCATTGCAAGGATTTGTAAGACTTTACAAGAACATGTAGCAAGAGGACAAGGGGGAACCAATTAAAAATGAAAAAGAGAGTAGGTTTAGATGAGATGTTAGGAGGAAGTTCTTTGCTGTGAGGGTGGTGAGACACTGGAACAGGTTGCTCAGATAGACTGTGGATGCCCCATTAGTGGAAGTGTTCAAGGCCAGGTTGGATGAAGCTTTGAGCAGCCTGGTCCAGTGAAAGGTGTCCCTGCCTGTGGTGGTGTGTGTTTTTATAGGATTTTACAAGGTTTTGTTTTCAGGGTTAGGCGTTTATTGTTAGGTAGTTTCAGTTGGTATGTCCCTATTTCTTCCTCTCACAATGGTTTCTCCCAGGTAGTTTACTCCTAAGTTTTCCCCCACCTGACTGTCCCTCAAAGTGCCAATCTCCCTGTTCCTTCCCTCTTACCCTTCAATGGTTCTGTCAATCAAAGTTGTGCTGCCCACCTCCCCTGTCTGGCCCATTTGGTTCTCAAAAGTTCCCTGTCTATTGCCCCTTCCCTAGTATCTCATTGGCCTGGTAAGCCTCCTCCCTCCCCTGGATTGCCCTCATTGGACTGCCACAGTTGTGTTCTCTTCCCCTAATGTCTCCCCATTGGATGTGAGCTGCTTCCACCCCTCATACCCTCCCCTCTTTATAATGTGCTGCCACCCTCACACCTGTGCCTACTTGTCCCTGAACCCTCCTAGGTAATAAACTACCTTGAAATTCATACAAGTGGCCCCTCTCTATTTCTTTGCCTCAGTCTTTCGTTTCTGCTTGGGAGCTGTGATACCCCCACCACAGGGAGCCATAGGGAGCTGCCAGCCCCTGTGAGCACTGCCACCCTAGAGGTCTCGGAAGAGATTTGGGGCAGCCACTCCTGTTGTGCCCTCTGGCCATAGGGAGTGTGCTAGGCAGGAGACCTCCACACTGTGCCGCTACCGGGCAGCGACACCTGCCCCTGGCAGAGGGTTGGAACCAGATCAACCCAAACAACTCTGAGGTTCTCTAAAGACTAAGAAAGCCTTGATGGCTTCTCTCCTCTCCTGCCCCATTGCAGTTGTGGAGTTTGTTTGGACCGTCAGAGACTGGTTTATGCTTTTGGAGTATGGGTCTGGCAGCCTGTTCTGAGATGCACACACTGATGGTATCCCAGTCCTCATAAAGCACTACAATCCATGACCTCACTGGTCTCTTCTATCATGTGTTCCTACATTTCCTACTTGATTGGGATTAATAATACCCAGCAAATTTGCCAAGAGAATTGTTTGGTTTCAATCTGTAGTCCCAAGGGGGGAAAAAAATCCACAAAAACCCACAAACCAACCCCACACAAATTTAATAACTGTCTACAAGAAAAGAGATTTAAATTATTACCTCAACACCACAAAAGAAAGGTATAATCCAGGCCTACAAGGCACTGCATGATTTCTTTTGAGAACTTTTACAGTACTATGGGATGACACATTATTACACAAAAAAGCAACTTCGCGTTCCTCCTGCTGCTCCTTCCTCAAACGTGCACAGCTGTCTACATAGCTGTGTGGCAAAACAGCTTGGTGAAACAGTTTAACAAATGAGAACAGCAAACCAAACCAATCAAACCCACCAAATTAGCTTGGATCCCTAATCAGCCTTTCAGTCAGACTTGCTGGCCACACAGAGAAATGCCTTTGCTAATTTAAAGGGTGTGCTTTTCTTAGTAATGATGCCTGCACCAAGTCTGAACTGGAAGAAGAGCAGAACAGTTTGATGCTACATTTAACCTAATTTATTTATGCTTTTTTTCCTCTTTTTTTTTTTTTTTTTTTTTTTTTTTTTTTTTTTTTGCCCTGCAGCAACATAATTGCTGAATCCATCAACAAATGAAAACAACCCTGCCCTCCTACGAGCCGTCTGCAGCACTGCAGGAGTGTGATGGGCAGCTTAATCACCAGGTAGAGAACCACGGAATGGTCTGGCTCAGAAGAGACCTTAAAGATTGTTTAGTTCTAACCTGCCAGGGGCAGATACACCTTCCACTAGACCAGGCTGCTCAAAGCCTCATCCAACCAGGCCTCGGACACTTCCAAGGATGAGGCATCCACACCTTCTCTAGGCATCCTGTTTCAAGTTCCACCCTAACAGAAAGGAATTTCTTCCTACTATCTAATCTAAATCTAATTCGTCTTAGCTTGAATCCATTCCCCCTTGTAAAGATCATAGAATCATTAAGGTTGGAAAAGACATCCAAGATAATCAAGTCCGACCTTGCCAGAACCCACCATACTCACTAAACCGTATCACCAAGAGCCATGTCCACTTCCAAGAAGGGTGATTCCACCACTGCCCGAGAAGTCGGTTCCAATGCCTAATCACCATTTTAGCGAAGATATTTTTTTTTTCTGATATCCAACCTGAACCTGCCCTGGTGCGACAGAGGCTCTTTCCCCCTGCCTTAGGTAGGTACGGCCCAGCTTGCACAACCCGAGAGGGCGGGATCCTGCAAACGCCTTCGCTGCACGGCGGCCCCACGGCGGCTCCCCTCCTCCTTCTCCACACGAGGGAGAAACCAGGAAAACCCAGCGGGAGGACCCGGCTCCTGCTAGAGACCCACAGGCGGCGCTTCCGGCCCGCCGATCCCTCCGTGCCCGCCGCTCCTTCCCTTGCAGGGAGAACGGGGCACAAGTATAAAATTACTCCTTCTCCGCGGCGCAGAGGCCGGCACCGCTCCCCGCCCCACCCCGGCCCGGCCTCCCTCTCTGCGGGAGCCACGCCGAGCGCGGTTTTTCCTCGAGGAAAACCCGTGGGCCTCCTGTCTCTTCCCCAGCAGCCCCCGCCGGGCGCTCACCTGGTCGATGTAGTGTCGCACTCGCTTCCTGAGGCGCTCCAGGTTCATCCTCCTTCCCTCCCTGCCTCCCTCCCTGCGTGCCGGAGCAGCCGAGGGACCGCGGCCGCCCGCCGGTGCAGCGCCCAAACCCGCCCCCCGCCTTCGCTCCCGCCCTCCCGGAAACAGCGCCCCGAGCGCGGCGTTCCGGGAGCGTTGAGGCCGCCGGAGGCGCCCCCCACTGCCTCCGCACGCCCCTAAATAAACATGTCCTGGGACTTTTCTCTACAGTCCGTATTGGAGAGAGAGACATTTATGGTGAAGGGCTTCTTCACAGTTTCGAAGTGAAAGATTGTTCGTGGAATGTGGCCCGAGGGAATGGCCTGAAGCTGAGTCAGCGGAGGTTTAGGTTGGGTATCAGGATATCTTCATGCAGGGGGTGGCCTGAGGCTGAGTCAGCAGAGGTTTAGGTTGGATATCAGGATATCTTCATGCAGGGGATGATGGCTGGGC